ATCTTCATTCAGAAAGGACATCCTCAGGGCCACCTCCTACATACAAATATAATCAAACTACAGAGACACCTGGCTTATTCTGTATTTTCTGGGGTGTGATCAGGTGGGGAGCACTTCCTCCTGGGGCACTGGAGTTCTTCGAGCCCGCTTCCCATCTCCTTGGCAGGTGTCCTTGGCAGCTTTTCCATAAATAAGGCTTCATCTTCCAAGACCAGCCTCCACCTGGCACTTTCTAAATTATTTTTTCGTACTATTTTTCAGCACAGTTCCCTCTTTGATGTCTAGGAACCCACGTTTCTAGAAACACTCTGCGGATCTTTGAGTTCTCTTGACTCTGCAGTGTCAGGCTGTAGAAGCTGAAGTTACAGAATGTGGGTGTTGCCACAAGTAAGAGCCCTACGTGGCCACATTTTCTTTTCAATGTCATGTCCTTCGTGCCTTGCTCATCAGCTCATCACACACACATGCCACCTCTTCCCAGCAGAGAGAGTACAAGTGTTCTTCGAACCACGAACGATAAAAGGAACTGCTTCCAACCCAGAGCAAGCTACCATTCTGTCATCTTCCAAAGAGCCAGAGACTAAATCTGGAGAAGAGCTCGTGGGACATGATCTGGAAACAGGTCAATTGAGCAGGTTAGCATTGTGGGCTCGGTGCCACAGCTCCTTTCCCCTTCCCCCATGTGGCTAAATATCAGTGATGGAGATCACTCTGAATCTTCTGAACACAGGGTATTGGGCAAAAATGTACTTTTGCATTGTACATTTCAGCACACCACACAAGACTTTTAAAATAAATTGTGTGCTGACAAATGGCCGATCCATTTAAAAGGGAAGATTCTTGGGATGGAGAGAATTTAAATTTTTAAAATTGCTTTCCTCCAGATAATGTTCCCCTGGGCAGAAAGCTGCTTTGGTTGGCGGGGCACTGGCCCTTGATGAGAGCAGGTAAAGAGGTGTCAACGTCCTGTTGACTGAAGATGTTTAAAGATGTGTCAGGTGTTCACTGCTCTGGCTGCAGGTTCCGCCCAGCCTCGTGCTCCTCCCTGATCTCCTGGTTCTTTCAGTTCAAGCTAAAGAACTCAGCCGGATTCCAGACGGCTTTTGTCAACAGAAGAATGAAGCCCAAGGGCAAGGATGACTGGAACTCGGCTAACACCAGATGGTAAGATCCATGAGGGCAGGACCACATCTGCCCCGCTCCCCACTGGGTACCCAGCCCCACCACAGAGAAAATGCCGGTGGGTAACTGGTAAATGGATGGATGAGTGAGTTTCCTCATGAATGCTATTTTTTTCAGTCCCTCTGTATTTTCTGGCAAACCCTTGAAAGTCTAAAAGGGGCATATTTGGGCTTGTGTGTGTGTGTGTGTGTTTTTTTTTTCCTGTCAGTCAGGAGAACTAGTGATGGGAGGAAGATGACCAATCCCTGTCTAACACCACAAATGGAGACTTAATTTGGTACAAAGATCTAGCCAAGTGGGGGTATGTGCTCCCACACTTCATGCAGGACGCTTTGTATCTTTTCTCAGTGAACTTGACCCCATAAGATACATAATCCTTCATTTCAAAAGGGCCCATCCTGCCCCCTTCTTACATGCACAAATCCCTACTGAAATACAGTGTCCCACACAATGAAAAGTCATTATTGAGCTAAGGACTGCAACACCTACGCTGGTTTTTATTCAATATGTCATCATCATCATTATCATTATTAGAAATTACACTCCACTGAGGTGGAAGTAAATATGCTGCTTAACATTTAAGGATTCCAAGAACCTCAGTAATAATACCTGGATGTTTTGAGCTAAAAAAAGAAGCCCATCATTTTAATAAACTAACTTCATTCATAGACACAGTGATTCAGATGACAGCAACAATGGATGGGAACTAGATTCCTACCCCTGGTGAGTGTGAAGCCATCACAGGGACGAGCTTTCAGACTTCATGTGAGGGAAGGAAAACTGTCCCTAACATTGGTGACACGTAAAGGTTGCCTCTATTTCCGGGTCAAATTTGTCTCAATATCTGGGTGGCTGGAGTTCACAGATAGAAAGACACTTCTCAAGTCAGAGTTCAAGATGCCACACATGACTAATTCAGCTGTCTGGATTTTTCAAACTTTGGTCCAAATGACTTGAACCAATTTAATATGTCTTTGCTGCTTTCACTCATTATGCAAAGCAATGAAAAGGCTGAGATCCTAACAACAGGCACAGCCTAGTAAACGATAGAGAATTCTTTATATAAGGAGCTTCTATCCCGACTTCTCTCCTCATAAAATGCACCCATGATTAAAGGCTAAATATACTTCCCAGGACAGCCAATACTAGAAATGTCTCCTCTATGTTGAACAGAAAGCTGAAATTTGCCACCCAGTGGCTCCAGCCTGGCTGTGCACTGCAACACAAACAAAAATATATTCCGTCTTCTCCGTGACCGTTCTCTAAGATGTGAATTCACCTCTCACGTCTCCCCTTTTGCCCATGTCTTGCCCGAGTGCTTCAACCACTCCCTGGATTACTGTAGTTCTCAACTCCTTTCCAACCTGATCGTGAGCATCTCAATGCGCTCATCTGTCCCTTTTCCATGTTTCTAACTTTTAAAAAAAAGTATTCACATAAATGGCTACAGCAATTGAAATTTTAAACCATCCTTTTGTTGTATGAGTTAATACAGTGTACTGGACAAATACATTAATCCTTACCACCTGATTTAAGTAGCTGTTAGTTTAAATTTAGAATTAAAGCTCTCTTCCTCTGTCTCTTTCTAACTGTTGAAACCCAGCTGGCCCGTAGGTGGTGCTCATTCTGACGGTGCCATCCTAAATTTCAGCCTGTGATTTCATTCCCATGGCTGGGTCTTTCAGACCACATCATCAGCACTTAGAGAAGCTCTATTTGGGAGATATTAAATCACAGGTAGTAAAGCAAGGTATGGACAGTGATCTTTATATGCTTCCCTATTTTCATATATAAATATTCCCCTACTCCTTTCAAACTGGTATGTCTATTAGAGTCCGGAAGTCACTTAGAAAACAGAATTCTAAACTACTTGAAAATGTCTTTTAAAAAAGACCAATCATTAAACCCTTACAGATGATAACTCAATCAGAAGCCAACGCATATGAGGTTTTGTTCACTGGTTCTCTAATATTCGACAGGGAAACAACGCAGACAGCACCCTGCAGTGAGGCAGGAGAAACGGAGTGCACCACAGCCAAGGAGCCCCACGGGGAAATGAGGGACAGCCTTGCCCCAGACTTCATGTGTGTGAAGTTCAGAAGCAGAAAAGCTATGACAAAGCTAACAGCCATGGTTCCAGAGATGCTAACTGTGACAAAGCAATGCTTTTCCTTGGGAAACACACTCCTGACAACTACCCAATGCTGATATACGGCAAGACCTACCCATCCCTGTTGCTGGCACTGCTCCTGCCTGGCAGTACCAAGGAACTGTGAAAGAGCATGCGGGGTTTCCTCATCTGAGCCTTTGTTCCCCATTCTCTTATTCTACTGAGCCCTGAGACTGACACACGGGCCAATCACACTGTGTGACTGGGTTTCTCGTTTGGGAGCAGATTTTATCTAATGTGTACGTTTATCCTACACACAATAAAAAAAGGTGTCCCTCGCCATCCTCACAATTGCCTGACCTTAACCCCACTCATAGCTCCAACATTTTAGGGATTAATAAAAAAGATAGGGCTTCCCTGGTGGCGCAGTGGTTGAGTCCGCCTGCCAATGCAGGGGACACGGGTTCGTGCCCCGGTCTGGGATGATCCCACGTGCCACGGAGCGGCTGGGCCCATGAGCCATGGCCGCTGAGCCTGCGCGTCCGGAGCCTGTGCTCCGCAACGGGAGAGGCCACAACGGTGAGAGGCCCGCGTACCGCAA